CCAAATTTTCTTGCTCGTATATGCCGCATCCAGCGACCTTTGATGTCGCGGCGGCACCTTTGACAAGATGCGGCATTCTGCCAAGGCGGCAACCGTATCTAAGCGAACAGACTATATACGATCCTGACAAACTTCACTACAGAAAAGAAATATCACCGTAGAAACAAAGAATTTAAGGTTACACAAAGGGAGATGATAAAAAATTGTTAAGAAATCCCGCATCATTGCACAGACTGCCATGTTTGAATAAAATAATATATTATGTCATCACTCATGCTTAGGTTGCTGAATGTGCACAAAATACTAAGTCACCAATTTTACAAAATATAGACAATTTAAAATCATAAAGTCCGTCAAAAAGGGGTAAATATGTAGGTGAGGTGTCTCGTGAAGTATTTGTGTATAGTTGTGTATGCAGTTACCACGATGATTACTTGTCTTCACTTATAATATGTATTGTAACTATACATCGTCAAATAATAATAAGCTGCCAGTGAAACTTTCTTTGATCAGAGTTTTTAGGTTAGGGGGCGTCCATAAATTAGGTGTTTTTTTTTTAATTTTCTATCTCCCCCCCCCCTCCCTGGTGAGATGTCGTGAGATTTTATTCAACCCCCTCTCCCAACCCCCAATTCCACGTGAGATTTTTTTAACATGTGGATTTCTTACATAAACGCGTTAGATTTTTATTGTAAAAAGAAAGAAAAAAACATTAAACGTCCTATAACTCAAAAAGATGGACACTAGAAAAAAAGTTTCAAACAAAAGTTTTAGAAAATAAACTGATCTTTAAAAATAGATTTATGCATTTTATTGATTAATCTAATATTTCAAGAGTTATTAGCTGCGATAGAAAAACCCTTTCATTAAATGGGCCATAAATCGTAAACGTTAAGTTTTACAAAAAAGTCTACTGGAAACAAAAGATGCGAAATTTTATTTTCTACAATAATGGTTCCTATCACTTTTGCCTTAAAGTGCATAGTTTCCGAGATATCGGCTGAAAACGTTTTTTCAAGATGGCACTGAAAGCACCACCTGGATCTGTCAGCATTTTGTGATTTTAAGCTGAGTAAGTGATCCTAAATCTTATAAAAAATAAAATTGGATCGGAAATTTAGTGCAAAGTTAAATTCTATTTTTACTGTACTATTTCATTAAACATTTTATTTATCAACAACGTCTTACAATCGTCGTTTCAATAGCGCTCACGTGACCTTCATACAAATAATTCGATATTTTAACTGTGGATAATTTTTAATTTTGGATAAGAATTTGGTAATGACTCTAAGTTATATTTAACTTCATTAAAAACCAAGCCAAACCTACTATACTCTTTGGCTTGACCATAGGATTGACTAATTGGTGTAATAATCTGACATTTCAGTAGTGTTTAATCGTATTACGTTATACGCTTAAGATTAACTCTTAAGCATGTACAATCTGGATTAAATGAACCAAAATAGTTTTTTTTTGTTTCAATCGGAAAAAAAATGCGTAATATTTGCGGAGACCCTTTCCAACGTAAGATTAGATGAGATTTGACGACCCCTTCCCCCCTTAAACATCTCACGTAATTTATGGATGCCCCCTTATTCACACGAGCATTATAACTGGCGCAATGTCCTTTTTTCATATAAAAACATCATTTTCAACAGCTTTTTAATGCAAAATTAAGTATTTTTATAAACTGAACAATATTTATTATAAAAAAGATGCATAAATTAATATAATTGGAGCGCAAATTAGATTAAAGGGAGTGTAGTGTGGTAAGTGAAAGGAAATTTTGTCAAAGACGGAAAAAAATCGTATTTTACTATGTGCAAAATGAATTGAATTACGATTGAATATAGAATTGATAAGACATATTGACCATATTCCATATACAATCTTAATAGTATAAATGTATACTGTTGTACTCATGTCAACACCCCACTTTATTTATTAAATTAAAATTTTAAAATTATTCGAATTCATGTAAAAAGTTTTAACTAAAAGCGAAATGTGTAAAAAAAGAATGATAAATAATAATTCTTACGAAACATCCTTCACTTCCATATAAATCTATTTCTTCTTTTTTTCTAACAGCTTTTAACACCTATATTCCATCTGTAGTGACTCACATACACAAAGAGTTGGCAAATCAATATTAAAATGATACAGTCTTTTCATTTTGTTAAATAAATAATAATTTACGCTGGTAATTTTTTTTAAAAGAATGTAGAAAGAAACATTTAAGTCACAGAGTTGAAGATGGTCATAGTTTTAGGTTTGAAAATTGATGTGTATATGACAATGTATTATCGCCATTAAAAATAGTAAATATAACACATATAACTCAAACGTTTCTATATTGATTTTATGCTCAACAGAGTTTCAAGTTCATTCAATTGAAAATCTTTGAATTCGTAATTAGTGAGTCATTTATTTTCGTTTATTCAATGTAAATGTATTACACTGAACCTCAATAATGACATGTTACCCTACTACTCCGTAAGTATACTTTGGACGACGTCTATGGTTTGTACATCAACCACGGCTCACGAATACATATGTAAACAAACCGGCCGCCATTTGATCATACCCACATTAAATATATTTTATAAAATATAATATTATTTACAAAGTAAGAACATTAAAAACTAGATTTTAAAGGTTACAAAAAAAAAGGATTTTAATCAGATATCTTTATCACATACACATTACTTCCGCGGATTAAAATTAAATCAAGGCGTAAGCGGAAAATAGAGATGGTTTGTTTTGCAGATAAGAAGAAGGAAGAACATAGCTTATTCTTATCTTTTTTTCTTCTTCTGCGCATTTCACGCTTAATCCAATCGAATAAAACATATTAACATGTCCTTAATGAAACATGATGTCGAACTAAATATGGCATCAAGATATGGATCCCTTTATAAAAGCAATAACCCTAAAACAATAAACAACACCTAGTAAAGCACTTCGTAACTGATTTTGCAGTTTCTTTTTAATATGTTAAGTAAAAGACAAAATAAATTTTATAGGGATCCATATCTAAATGCATTAAAGCATTTTATTACAATGGTTTATTAAGCAATTAATGATTAAAACCATTGGTAATTTGAGCTTCTCAGAGACATAAAAAAATCACAAAAAATACTGATTTTGTAAATTTTAGTTGAATAGGTTTGAAACACATTACCAAGCATACCTTTTCGCATAAAACAATCCAATCTTTGCCGAAAAGATAAATGGTTTTCGGCAAAGGTTGCAAACATATTTTATTTGATTTTTCTAAACGAAAGTAACAATATGAAGAGACAAGCAATTTTGCAAATTTTTGTAAAAGCCTTCAAAATGTTGCGGTGTAAACCCTCTTACATACATCGTCAGAGGTACGAAACTATCGGTACAGCGGCCGCCAATGCAGTTGCTATGCAGTTATGGCATAACCCTGCTATGTCCAGCAGTGAACTATATACCATAATATAATAATAATGTCCTCCAGACCGAATTCCGGCCACGGCGGCCTGCTTCAACTCCGGCATGAGGCTCGCCATCAGCACAGGACAGGATTAGAGTGCCCAAGTGTATGTGCAAGCACAGGTGTACTCTTCTATTCCCTCACTCTCATAATCCGATGAGACGGTAAACCGACACGACCGGAGAGAGATCAGGCGCAGGACCAACAGCTTTACGTGCTTTCCGAGGGTGAGACACCGCCAACTTCCAAACTTCGGGCAACTACTGAGAATTTCTTGATGGAAAAACTCATTAATTAATTTTTGGCCCGACCCGGGATTCAAACTCAGGACCTCATGATCAGCAGTCGCACTACTACAACCACTAGACCAACGAGCCATAATATAACCAAGAGATAAAGAACAAGAAATATTTCGCGCAAATTAAAAAAGGTTTGACTTTCACATTCAAACTTCAAGCTGATACCCAAATATTCAAACACTGTTTAATTTTAAGAGGCTGTGAAGTCTCGTGCTGTCTCACTTTAAGTCAAAGTGACAACGAGTCTTAATGACATCTTTTATATATAGAAAACTCGTACGTATAAAATTTAAAAAAATAATGTCCTCTCAGAAGCTCAATGTGAGAGAGGAATGCAAATTATTGTTCAAATATTCATGCTATTCATAATAAATCAAAAAAATATATATGCAATTTAACATCATGCTGAGAAAACTTATATACCATCAGACAGAAACAAAGAATAAATCTATTTGTGATCCATTAATAGATATCTCAAAATACAATAACACACTACTCAGTAGCAATTCCACAGCACATCGTAGGATTAGACTTTAAAAAAAATTGGTCATGTTGTGTCTATTAACAAACTATTTTATTTTCAATATAAATACGTATATATTTTTTTACACTTCCTTTTTGCAATCGTGGTGTTGTCACATTCCTCACATTACTTGTTACACATTTAAAATCCCTCACTTGTAAATTCTTTGTACTTTTTGTGATTACATTTCATGAGAAAAGTAACATAACCATTAAAATTATTTCACATTTTACACTTTCATAACTGATACTTGTTCTGCATTCCAATACCGTCCTGTCGTGTGATCACACAGATTACACTATTTGTATGAACAGGTTCATACGCTAACTACCACAAAAGCTGAGACACTTGAGTGATTTCTTATTTACATAAAAAACGGATACAACACGGCTAGAAATACATCACTGCCTAGCAGCTTTAACTAATCCATGGTCATGCAAATATGTAAGCTACGCCAACTTACTGGCGCAGGGAACACAGTTGCATAATCCTAAAACAGACGACAACTGAAATAGGAAACAAAGAAAGGAATCGAAGTTGCCACCGTGAGCCGGATCACGCAACAGTATTTTAGCAAACGCTTTATAACGTCTACGTAGTGCACTAAGTGGATTCCTTACGGCATTTTATTCGTTCACTGGGCGGCGTGCACAGTGCAGCGAGACTGGCGGAGACTTTATATTCCTTGAAACCTAGGCTTGTGGAACCGTCGACACTACGCTAAGCGGGGCCGCTTCGCGTCGCGCTCTTCGCTTGTATCCGACCCACTTCCGCCACTACTACTGCCCCCACTCCCACCGCCGCCGCCCTCTTCCTCCTCGTCAGAATCGCCGTCGTAGTCTACGAGACCCTGTTTAATCATAAATTGTATTTGTAAAAATATATCAAATGTACACTTTAACTATAATACGCACACCAAACAAACATAATTTATCATTATTTATATTATGTATATTAAAACACACTCATACAATTTTATCTTGTTATCATAGAATACTATAATACACAATAGAATGGCTGTCAACCTTCTTTCGTACGAGGATTGGCGTCGCATGGAATACACATACAAGCAATTACGTCGTATTATCGGTTATCACTACTACAAACACATTTTAGACTTTTGATTAATGTTTTTGACACATAAATATTTCTTTATTTTTGTTTTTAATATTCACAAAACATAAATAGTTTCGACTTACTGGTTGTAGAATATGTCTCCTTTATTTAAATTTAATTTCCCGCCGTTCTTTCGACCCGTAATTATTACACAATTTGCCATTTTTTAAATAATTTGCATGCAGCGACGCTTGACTCGAAAATTCGAAACGATTGATTGTGTTGACATTTATACGTGTGAATTGACATGTTAGTCAATTCACACGTATAAATGTTAGTCAATTCACACATATAAATGTTTAATTTAACACGGGCTTTGCCCACTTCCCCATTCTATATACGTATTATAGTATTCTATGCTTGTAATCAACACTTCAAGTAAGGCCATTACTTAACTGCTATGTTAGTGTCATCTAATGCAAAATGTATGCAGTGAACATGTGAGGCTTAATTCTGTGACTACAAAACCATCTGCTCTACTATATAGTACAGAAGGATTCGTCCAAAGATATCTCAATTGTAAAAATTTTACACTGCTAAAAAAATGTTACTCTATTTTCAATTGAAATTATAGATTGAGAGTTGTCTACACTACACAATAGAACCCCACAATATTAAAGCTAAGAATCTAAATAATCTACACAGCAGAACTATACCTTAGGCGTATTCCAAAATTAGCTTGGCAAACTTTTTAAGGCTCAAAGTTGTTACAGACATGCAATTAACCAAATTTCAGCAAAAGCAATTTATACATCTTTTCATAAAACATTACTCCTCAAATTACAACTTTGCATAATAAACAGACAAGTATACAGGGTTATTTTGCAATATACACCAAAATTTGCAGATAAGGTTCAAAATAGGTAAAATAGGCGAATGGTGAAGAAAAATTAATTAAAAAAAATTCAAACATTCTGTCCTTTTTATCTTTTAAATTCAGAATGCGTGGTAATGCATTATTGTAACTGTTGACATTCATAAATATCTAACGCCTACAATTTTACTACGCACGCACGCTTTCGTGAGTTGCTCGGTCGGCAAATACATTAAGAATTGAAACGACATAGAACAGCGCGCGTACGCGTAGTTGTTTCTCATAAATTACATTCAATTTGGGATATTTTCAAATAAAAGTAGGAGCCTTATTTTCTCGTATTTGCAAAAACTGCAAGAACGGTATATCATTATTTACATTTGAACTTAAATATAAAATTTGGATACTCCTTGAACAATAACCCTGTATATAAAGAAATGAATGCAGTTAACCACTAGTGTTTGAAAAAGGCTTTTTCTATTTTTACAATAAAAAAAGAATTTCTAATAGTTTTATATAAAGACCAGAATCTCATTGAGGGCAGTAAATACAACATAATAGAAGTAATAAATTAACACAAAACTTTTCCAATAACAATTTGTGCAGAAACATAATGCTTAATAGACAATTCAACATTCCTCATCAACATTAATTAATTTTAAATTAAAAAGGGTATATTCGGGTTCGTGACTAGGCGGAAAATAATATAAAATCTATAAAAAATTACACAAAAACACAGTAATAGCATATTTACGTAACAAATAGCTTTATGACTCTTATAGCTTCAACTTTCTTTGGAGTTTAAATCAAACTAAACTACATATTTGTATCCAATATATACAAATAAAGTAAAATTGAAGTGTCTGGTTGTAAAGTCAAAATAATAGCTTTTTACTAAATGTATATGAAAGTATAAACGGTACTTATAGCAAAACAACAATTTTTAAAATTTTTGTCTGTCTGTCTGTTTGTTCCGGTTAATCTCTGAAATGGCCAGGCCGATTTTGACGGAACTTTAACCGGCAGATAACTAATGTTATAAGGAGTAACTTAAGCTACTTTTATTTAAGAAAAAGTTAGAGTAATGCACCAAAAAAATTAAAACCAATGAAATACAATCACAATAATTACCACGCGGACGTAGTCGCAGGGAAGGGAGTTTTTAATATATTTTTATTGAATACTAAATTTCTATGTTTAATCATTGGTGTGTAACAATAGTTTATAGTAATGCTAGGATCCCCATAGGTAATGTAGTCGTCATTAATAAATTCTGGATTAATGGACCAAAATGACTGCTAATCTCCCATAAAAGAAAACTACAAAAGCAGGATCCAATAAGTGGTCGAGTTACAGTAGATTTCACTTATAACGGCTATGAAGGGACTTGTGTAATTTCGTCACTCTACCCGAAACTCACTATATCCACAGGTAGAAGTGGGGAGAACAGAAAACTTGACATTAAGAAAGCATAAAAATAATATTTATTGTCAAATAATACTTTTTGCTAATACTTTTTTTCGAAGCATTGCATAATTTCAGAGCGGTTTTCCACATTGTTGACACTATAGAATGCGAAATATTGAATTGTTTGCACAAGGCTTGAGGATGGTGAAAGTAATATTATACTTTCACCATCCTCAAGCCTCGAAATAATATCTACTTATTCTTTAACCTTAAACATTCTTCCAACGGGTGCCTTGATGAACAAACGATCTAACATCCCAAAAATTACTGAGTAACTAATTTTAAGCGTATTATCACAGCTGCCGACCATCTGGGATTGTGAACAAGAGATAAGAAAGCTTAATGACTCTATAAATAAACATTTTGTGTATTTCTTTGTTGATTCGTTCATTGAGTATAGACTCTAGCGTAATACCTGCATGAGATTTTAGGGTATTTCATAATAATTACTCATTAACCACTCACGTCCAGACAGTATATTGGACCAATTAGATAGAATTTTGAACCAAGAGTATAGTAGGTTAGGCCAATGACAATATTTTTCTTAAATGAAGGTAAATATAACTTAGTTATTACCATCTTCCTATCCAAAATTAAAATTATCAACAATTAAAATATAAATAAAATAAAAATACTGAATAATTTGTATGAAGATTAAGTGAGCGCTAGAGAAACGACGATCGCAAGACGTTGTTGATACATAAAATATTTTGAGAAATTATCCATTACCATGTTGTGGAGGTGTATGAATATCCATATCATCCCGTCGAAGTCGTAAGAGGCGACTATACTTAGTGAAGTGTTATTTATAATAACAATGACCATCGTTCCACTTACAAAAGGTAACAGTGAAAAATCAACGTGACTTTGTCACGTTCGATAACTATTTGGAACATTAAAACAACTTATAATGTGACTTTAGATATGCATTTTAGATTTAGTATTAGGTTTTATTTCAGTAGTCAATTTTTTATTACCTTCCTCACCTAAGCTACGAACGAAAACTAATTCCATTCTAATTATTATTTTTGAAATAAACAAATTTCACCTGACCTAGCCGATCAGTTGGTGTACCATTCCGTAAACCGTATCGCACCTTATTACACAGTCACACGGTACATGTAAGTTAGATGAATAACTAATGTTATTTTTAATAAAAAAAATAAACAATACAGTTATATCTATTTCGTAATATATACACTCAGTAGGTGCCTCTAATAAATAAATAAAAAATCTATCATAGGTATATATACTTTATTACGCTATCTTTGACCAATGTTATTTTTATTGAAAACAACTTTGTCATAATATTCACGATATATCGGAATTATAACACAAAACGTAATTTTCGCACATTGAACCTTGAGGAATATAAAAAAAAATTACATGATTTATAATGAAAGCTGCACTAGCACTTCTTATTAGATTGTGGTGAAAACTAACACTGCATTTCATTTTAGTTACTTCTGACTACTTTATTTCTCACATGAATGACATAGTATTTGAAATACAAATTTTATAAATTGTTACGAGACAAAATATAAGAAAATAACTTTTAAAAACAGACAATTTATTTACCTTTTATATAAAAAAACGAACATCAAACTTACTATTGTACATACTATTTTTTTTTATTAATGTAGTGGTTTCTTGCACTCACGGGGCGAAGAAAATAGACTCAAGTATAACTAGTAAACGTGATGTGTAGGTAAAGGCGGAAACTCATCATTGGAAGTAAATCCTCTTAATTTAAAGAAGCGTAATTTAGTAACGAAACGAATTATCAAAAAAAAAATTAATGTAGGTGTAATTAAATATGTAAAAATACATAATGAAATTTATTTTATTATTAGAAATTTAAGCCATGTATTCATTGAGAAACAATGTTTCGGAAACAGTTTCAAAACGGGAGTCGTTATTAATGAAATCTACTGTATCAATAAAATATATTTACACTAAAATTCCAAGTGAATTCGGTATGAAACTCATCGCGCCTCATAGAGGAAAGCGCAAAATAACGTTTGTCGAGACAGCTAGTATATTATGTTTATTATGTGTAATATAATTTAGTTACCCAACTTCAGCCCGGCCAAGATAGAATGTGAGGACAATAAATGCAGTTGAGTTTTTTTACAGAAAATTTGTTACAGAGTATTATTGCCTGGGTTTTATTAAGATTTTATGGAGCTTCTGGTACAATTAATGTCCAAATTTAATAAAACTTAAAATTTTATATGCTTTAAAGTAGAATCCAATATATAAAGATGTCTCAAATGCCTCAATGTGATTTGGATCTCGTTAATCACTTTTTATATGATGACCTCCAGTGAAGCTAATAGAGTAGAGGAGAGGGAACTAAAAGTTTACCTTATCGAGTAATCTGGGCGAGGATACCTGAACATCAGTGTGCGTAGGCTTGCTGGCGACTGTTGTACTGAGTAGTACTCTGCTAGGTCCATTCACTGTCTCTGTATTCGAGCACACTTTTTTTTCTACTATTTTACCTAGAACAAAATAACTTCATGATTTTATAATGTTACATACTCCTATATGTAGTCTTCACAGTCCAATATTTATAAATTTTAAACATATGTAAATTACCTCAATGTAAAATTCGAAGTTAAGGTTCTACTAATCGCCATTCCATCAGCCCTTTTAAGTGCACTTTTGGACATTTTAAGAATGTGCCAGCAAGTATACATTTCACATAAGAGTTAAAAATACTCATCACGAAGAACAGCCAGGTTAGTTAACGCCAAAACGACATCCTCATAGTAGTAGTACTGTTCCATCACTCTGGGGAGGGAGTCTCAGTTTTGACATTTTTCAATAGATTTTTTGTCATTGGTAACCAAAACCTTCGCCTGACTGAAAAGCTGGGTAAACTGCGTGCAGGTGTAGTGTTTGTCATCCATAATAATTACAAATAGAGAATTATAATATTTATTTTTCACGAAAACAAGTTTGAATAAGAATAGTAGATATATTACTATTCCTCATAAAATAAAGAAGCAAGAAAATATTTATTAAAAATTTATAGTACTAAGAGAGATTTTTCGTTATTTTAATTTTTTTTTTTGTACTTCTTTATTATTAGGCAAATTATTAAGCCGGGAAGGAAGTCTTATTTTATTCAGAGCGTCTATTCTCGGAATCTGGAATTGTTTATAAGAAGAAAACTAGTCAACTACTGCCTGAAGATGCAGAAAAATTTGTCTTTCTGCACTATAATCTTTCACTTTAATTACTATCATTCAGGTGCATAGACATTTATCTAATAGTTTTTTTGTTATTTTTTTATAATATAGAAGTTGATTATGTACCTGTGACTACTAATGTGATTAAAATAAATAAAAACAATATAATAAAATAAATCAATATTTTTATTTTCTCCCTTATTTGACTACAACAGAACATCTTATTCTGTATTCGGTCGAATAGTGCCCGATATTCAGTGTTCGGCCGAATAGGAAATAAGAATAACTGATTAGGTCAAATACCGAATAATAGCCGAATATTTGTGCAAGTCTAATCATTATCCAAAAAAATTACTCATACTAATAAAATCTTCAAAATGTATGTTTGGCATTTTAAAATGACGGATAATAAAACAAGATTTGTTTAAAAGGCAGGACGGACGAACTCTTCACTAACACATCCGCTGGTCGCGGTCGCTTGACACACTGCAGACAGCGGCCGCCCCAGTATAGCCTTGTAGTTATTACCTTTCGTACATCCAGTGGGTGTAGTAAGAGGCGACAGATTGAAAAAAAAATCAGATGGGCAGAAGCGTCTTCCTAGTAACAACTAAAAAACTTTTTTTTGGTTTCGGAGGAAGTGAGAGATACAAGTGTCGTGCCTTTTTTGCTTAAAATTTATTGTTTTATTAAGTGTTGTTGATTTACCATAGTAAATTTTTCTGTCTTGGTGGAGGTTTTAATATCTGTAAATTAGTAAGTGTTTGTAGTTGTGCCGTTTTTATGTAATTTTTTGTTGTAGTAATATAATGGAGGACGAACCTCCCGATCCCGGAAGGGTTCGCAATGATTCCTTTTCCTTACCCACTAACATTGATAATGTAGAATTAATTAAACGTAAACGTGCCCAAGTAAGTAACGAGTCTGCCCATCCACAAAAAATAGTTATTACTGATCCAAATCAACAGTTTCCTTCAATACAATCCTCATATACCCATCCTGATTTTATTAATAAAAAAAGTTAAGTACTCTCAAGATGATGCCGCTCCTTTTCTAGTTCACGTAAGTAAAATCTCAAATGATCAGCTGTCTGGAGTAACTCTTAAACCAATTAAATTCGGTCACTTTCTGTATCATAACAATATTAAAAATATAGTCCATGATGGAGTCAAAAAAGTTGGACGAAATAGAATATCCGTGGAGTTTAAATCAGCTGCAGATGCAAACACCTTTATCGATCACCCAGCTCTCCAAATTTCTAAATATGAAGCAACCATCCCCTCATATAGTATCACTCGTATGGGGCTAGTTAGACAAGTTCCCATAGAGTGGACACTAGAAGAATTAATAGCAGCTATAGAAATTCCCTCTGGATACGGTTCTATAATTAAAGCACGGCGACATAATAGACGATCAGTGAGTGACAGCAATAGCGTTTCATGGGTTCCAACTCAGACGGTTGTTCTAACTTTTTCTGGACAAAAACTTCCTCCCCATATTTACTGTTTTTACACCTCAATGCCAGTGGAAAAATATGTTTTGCCACTAATTCAGTGTCATAAATGCTGTAGATATGGCCATGTTACTTCCCAGTGCCGATCATCTCCTCGCTGCTTTGTATGTGCACAGAATCATGAAGGTTTATCTTGTACTCGACAAACTCCTACTTGCCTATTCTGCTCTGGTCCCCACACCGCAAAAGACCCTACATGTCCTGAACATCTAAGGCAAAAATCTATTAAACTTGTTATGTCACAAGAAAATATTTCATATTTAGAAGCTTCAGCTAGATTCCCTCAGACAAAAAGATCCTTTGCTGATACAACAAGAATCCAGCCTCGTAATTGTTCTCAACAGACCCCTTATACTGTAACTGACAGTCTTTCAACCCCTTCGGCTCAGCTCTCACAAACTGCATCATATAAAAAAACAATTTTTATCCCTCAACGTACCCGCAGCCCACCATTAAATTCTGGATATGATATGGCAGCCCATCAAGCAATTGTTGAGAATCCTAATTCTTCCCTTCCTAATGGGTGTGCTCTACTGGGAAATGACAACAACTCCTCTAGTAATGATAATTTCTGCGAACTTATGATATCAATTCTAATTAACATGATCTCCCGTTTTAGTGACACGGAACTTCCTCTCAGCTTACACCAAAAACTTACTCAGCTTTCCTCCTTAGCCCGTAACATTCGCAGTCCCGCCAATTCTTCAATGGAATTGTCGGAGTTTTAGAAATAAAAAAATGAACTCAAGGCCTCATTTTAGGTTTTCAGGCCCCCCCGAGGGGGTCCCCGCCCCCCCTTTTTTAACTCCAAAACTACCACCCACCCCCCCCCCCCTCCCAACCACTCCCCCTCTTCTCTCTTTTTTCCCTTTCCCTTCCTTAACTTTTTTTTAATATTCTTCTTCTTTCTTTTGTGGCGGTTTGATAAAATTCGCCAATGACGTATTGAGTAGAAAATGAAAGCTTATGAGTTTAATTAAAATAAGAGTCTGTGATAATACAAGGATTCAGTTTTCCTCCGAGAATTTTGACAAATCTATTTGTTGAATTACCTAGAACAAATATGACAAACACAGGTGTTAGACTCTTACCCGTTTGTTAAAAGTGACAAGGATTTAAAGTTTCATATTATTAGTATTAATAAAATCACATAAAATATACACAAAAGGAGTACTGGTATATGTTAAAAGAGAATTAAAATCTATAGGTCGAGGAATATAAGGAGGAAGGTAATCATAAAGGGAGGAGGATAATTTGGGACAGTTGAAAAAAATATGGTTTGTGGAACCTTCATCTAAGCCACATTCACACAATGAGCTATCCCTTACTCTGATTTTTGCCAGATGTGCATGTGTACAGGCGTGTCCAATTCTTAATCTACAAATGATTGAAGTTGCATGTTTATTTGCTTTGTTAAATTTAAAGAACCAAGGCTTGGGAGGAATAACCTCTTGGATGGCAGCATAGTGCTTACCTTTAACTTTTTTGGAAACTTCCCATAATTTATTCCAATTTTCATTCAGTTTCCTTTTAGCTAGCAAAATTAGGTCATGTGAGTAAATTAAATTTTGTAGAATGCCATTAGCAATTGCATTTTTAGCGAGTACATCAGCTGTTTCGTTACCATGGATACCACTGTGGCCTGGAATCCAGGCCACTGAAACATGGATTCCTTTAAGATGGCATCTGAATAGGGTATTTTTTATTTTAAGAATTAGTGGAATCTTATGTTTGTTATGGAATTGATTGGACAAAATAGCTAACAAACAACTTTTTGAATCTGTGAAAATAACTGTTTTATTAAGATTATGTGACTCTACATATAACAAAGCTTCACTGATTGCAGTTGCTTCACCAGTAAAAGTGGAGGATAGTGAGGGGCATTTAAAGTTAAGAATGATTTTGAACTTAGGAATCCAAACAGCAGCTCCAGTATAGTCTTCATCAGAATGTTTTGAAGCGTCTGTGTACATGACAAGCCAATCTTTAAAGGTGTTTTCTATAATTTCTTTTAATTTCAAATTTGCCATTGGAGAATCCTTTTCTATACCTAGATCTAGATGAATGTCGGGTTGGTAAACAATAGCCTCGTAAGGAACATCAAAGAGTGGATTTATTTTGCATTGAAAGATTGGGTAAGGAAGCTGAAGAAAAATTACAAAACTTTTAAACAAGCAGGGAGAGTCCTTATGGGTCCAGTATCGGTCAGATGAGATATACTCTGAAAGAAGGTGCAATTTAGGAATTAGGGGATGATCTGAAAGTTGGCAGATCTTAAATAAGAATCTGTCTGAAAGGTATTGCCTTCTTAATCTTAAAGGAGGATCTACGCACTCAACCTGAAGAACATTTATTGGTGAGGATTTCATTGCCCCTGTAATAATGCGAAGGCATTTCGATTGAATTTTGTCCATTACTTTAAGGGATGATTTATTGCAAGGCTCCAACAGAAAACATCCATAGTCAAGGTGGCTTCGTATTAAAGCATTGTACAGTAATTTCTGAGAAAAAGGATGGGACCCCCACCAAACACCTGACAAAGACCGAAGAATATTTATGTTTTTTTCGCATTTTTGTGTTATGTATTCAATGTATGGACCGAAGGCCAATTTCGAATCAAGGATAACTCCCAAAAATTTAACATTGCCTCTAACTGGAATAGGTTGCTTATCATATACAACAGATATATCGGGAACTCGCCTTTGGCGGGAAAAGATCACCACACTACTCTTGGCCACAGATAAAGAGAGGCCATGATTAGTTAACCATTCTTGTAAATAATCCATGGATGAGT